TTGATGAGTGACTTCTAGTCTTGGGACATCACGCTGTAGGTTGCCCGGAGATTGTTGTTGTGGACGAAAAGTTTGCGGAATTCCAGTGTTCGGAAATTAGGGTTCACCAATTTGTGGCGATCAAGGATGTGAGATCGACTTAAACCACGCACATTAAGTTCGTTTCGTCTACTGTCAAAAGTCAGGGAGCTGTGAGGACTAGTTTATTCTGTACACAGGGCAGGTTGCCGTAAGTTGTCGATTTGCTTGCAACAGGGAAAAGCGTCCGTCCACGGAGAGCGTCAGTCACGGTGTGTCTGTTGTTTACGCGGGTGTGCTTCTGGGTCAGCAGGAGGGGTGACCGGCTGAGTGTTGGTCGTGTGACTGGACAAATTAGGGGAGGAATAGGGGGCGCAAGCACACAATGCCTCATGGGTATCAAGCCAGGGCGTTAGACGCGCGTGAGGTGATGAAAGTTTGTGAGGTCAGCCGAAAGTCACTGAAGTTTGACCGGAGGTGTCTGAGTGTTAGCCGGCGGGGGTGGCTGTGTGTCAACAGCTTGTCGCGGCCACCGACAAAACGCAGCCGGAGAAAAGGGGACTGGCACGGCTGCTACACTCTTTTCCTTCTTGCATATGTTGAAAGCCTTCCGTTTATGAGACATTCCTTTAACTACTCCTCACTCAGACATCATTTTTTAATATGTTCGTGTCCGTTTTTTTCTGATTCTTTTACTGCGTGCGCTGTGACTCTTGAATACGTTGCTTATTAGAGGATGTAAAATTCCCTGTAGATGTATAATTCACTATAATTTAGTATATTTGAAGATTAGAGTCAGAGCCTTGGAAAACCATATTTACAGATTGATGTAATGAAAAATATGCAGACATTCAGATGACAGGTATGACAGTCATTGATATCATGCAAATGTTTGACTATCAAGAATATATTTATCTAGTCCTTTGTTGAAATTCTCAACGTTTTCCGCTAAGACAACGGAGTTCGGCAATTTCTTCTATCCCCCAAACAGCTGGTGGGATAAAAACTTTGCCCGCAACTCGAGTTTGGCATATTTAGTCTTCAATTTGTATTGGTGCACTCGAAGATTAGTCGTCCGCGGTGGTTTGAAGGTATCGCCAAACTGAGGAGCACAGTCCAGCCCTCGGACGATCCTGAAGGCCATGTTCATGTCCCCTCTGTACTGCCTATAAGAGAGAGTAAATATGTTTAGCTTCTCCAGCCGTCTCTCATAAGGTACACAACTGATTCCGCCGACTAGCTACGTCGCTCTTCATTGTGCATTCTCCAGTGAGGTGTAATCTTTTTTCGAGCAGGGACACCATGCCTGAGCACAATATTCCCACATTGGTCGGACCTATGCGCCAAATACTAGCCGAAAAGTTCTTCATCAAAATTGACGAAGGATCTTCTAATCGCGCCTATGATACCCATACCTATGTTTGAAAACTTGGCGCAGTGAAACGATGGTTTGTGAGGTCTCTGAATTCCTCGCAGTTAGTGCCTCATTTCAGAGACGTCGTTGCGGTTACTCCTTTAACCGTGGGCGGCACTGTTCGCTCTAATGATCAACGCATCCTGTCAATTTCGTATCCCGACGAGAACGTAATCTAACCTTTGCTGGCGCCGCAATCGTGGGCGAATCCAAGCTTTGATAACCTGCGTCGAAAGGAGTAGGATGTTGACCCGGAGGAGACGATGTTCTGTGAAGCTACTGAGGTGGAGGCCATTGTTCTTGCAGAAGGTATGCCTATAAAAGGCAGCACTCTTTCCCAGACGGAGGCGCATAAGTAACTTACATATAAAACATGTGTATCTTTAACACGGTCACCAGAAAGGTAGGCGAATTTTTATTGAGGTTGTACCTCACCCCATACCCGTTGATAATTTCAAGAGGGAAGACCTTAATCTGCGGTGGTAAGTTTGGCTCTTTAAGGTGCACGCTCTAAATAATACGACAACTGTTGTTGGTTGTTGGTTTTTTCACAAGGTTTAAATAGGTGTTAATGGATATACTGATGTTTATTTGTTCTGCCTTTAGGCGGTTGCTCCAGAAAATGTTTAGCTAATACTTCCAGTTAAAGCGTTCAAGAAGAGAATTTGCTGAAAGCAGCAATGTTTTGTTTGTGATGCGCAAGGCCTCGAGGGGTTTGTGAGTCAGCGATTGCGTCAGGTTTTCCATCGGATTATCTAATAGAGTTATCGTTCCTGGCTGCTCGACTGTTCAGACATATTTTTGCAGTCTGTGGGGTGGGAAGTGTGTCCGACACGAAATATTGTTCGCTAGATTGTTTTGGTCGCTTGTTAAAAGTCTGCAGGCCCTTCACTGTATGCGGACAAAATAAATCACTTTTGAAGTTAGTTTATTAAGGTAATCAGGCTTCCGCCCTTGAGCACCCTTTTCATTTAGATAAACATAAGAAGAATCATCAATAACGCCAGCAAATTCTGAAATTCAAAAGTTAGCTGCAAGTGAGAGCCAGGCGCAAACTGCCACCACTAAAACAATTGTTATTAGATGTACAGTAGGTTCTCAGCAAATGTGCATCTTGTCTACACTTAAAGTATTCGACAGTTTCGCAAAGAGCTAAAGCATAAGGGAGTCCGCTCCATGTCCCAATAGCCCTGTGAGAGAAGGCGTTCCGTCGGACGCCCGAATAAACCAGTTTCCTCTGCAGTTTGGAGGGATGACCACGCAGACTATCACTCCCGGCTAATTCGAAAAATGCATCAAAGTCTTGGGCGCACTCATGGCCTCTGACAATCCTTTAGGTTTATAATTCAATAAATAATTCAGTATATATGAGGGATAGAGGCAGAGCCTTGGAAAATCCTATTTAAAGATAGACGTATGAAAAAACATGCAGATATTCACATAGCAGTTATGGTTGGTGTTCTTTAAACTCAGTGCTGTTTTATTCACCTGAATAGACGCACCCGAGGTCAGAGCTATGTCAGAAGACAGTCAGGATAACTCGGTTATTCTTTGTGGTTCTATAGCAATAAACAGTGAGATTAGCGGAGCACAATAGAGTTAATAAGGTGGAGAATAAATTGAAAAGTGGACGTACATTTGAGGTGATAAGACGAGCAGTCAGCGAATGACGCCAAGGTGTGGTGGTCGGTTTATAAGCGAGCGGCAACAAAGAGCAATAGGCAATGGACAGGGAACAATGAACAAGGAATGACAAGAACCGACGAATAGGAAAACAAAGACAAAGACAGGGCGGTGTGCGTAAATCTGGTTACTAGCAAACGGTTAGTAGCAAAGTAAAGACAAGAATAGAAATTGACATCAGGGATGTCACACTCCCTCGCGGGTCGCGGTCTCCGAGGGCCTGAAAGCCTCACGGAGTTTCCATTTGATCCACTTCTCCTTCCAGTGGGCAAACTTGACGTATGTCCCTCCGTACATGACCTTTTGCTGTGCGAGCGGTGACTCCACGAATTAAGTTGTCCGATCCTGCGTGTACTTCTTCGATTATTGCCTTAGGCCAGACACCTCGGGGTTTGTCTGCCTCCATTAGCAGAACAAGTTGACCAATCCTGGGACTCGGATGCGTAGATTGCCACTTCCGACAGACTGCTAGTGTCGGTAGGTAGGCTCTTAACCATTTCTTCCAAAAGGTATCCGCTAGGAGTTGTGCCTGTCGCCATCTTCTATTAAATTGATTCTTTGGAATCGTACTTGGTATTAGCTCCGACGAATTACTTCTTAGTAACAGCAACTTACTCGGTGTAAGTACATACTGATCATCCGGGTCGTCACTCTGTCTTACCAACGGCCTGTCATTTAGAATTCGTTCAATTTCAGTCATAGCCGTATGTATAACTTCATCAGTGAGGCGTTGTTCTTCTAGCACCACAAGGATAATTTGTTTGACTGTGCGAATCATTCTTTCCCATACACCACCTCTATGGCTGGCTCGAGGGGGGTTGAATACCCAGTCGCACTCACGGATCAGCAGCGATTTCGATATTTTGTCCTGGATCCACATTTTAAGCAGTTTCTTTATGTCGCCTTCCGCACCCTTAAAATTGCTTCCGTTGTCACTGTATAGTCGCTGTGGACAACCTCTACGTGCCACAAATCGATTGAAAGCACACAAGAACGAATCGGTATCTAAAGAGTGCGCTACTTCCAGATGCACAGCTCGAGAACTGAGGCAGGTAAACAGACAACCATATCGCTTTTCGACGGAACGTCCCCGTTTAACGAACATCGGACCGAAATAATCAACTCCTGAAATCGTAAAGGGGTCGCAAGACTGCACAGTCCGATCGATGGGGATCGGAGCCATAGCTTGCTGGTATGGTCGAGAAAACCATCTCCGGCACTTGAGACATCTTTTCAACGAGGATTTTATCGTCTTGTTGGCCCGCAATATCCAGTACCGCGTCCTTATTGTAGATAGAATATAGTTTTGTCCCATATGACCGTTCAGTTCGTGATAATGTTGGATTAGTAGATGCGTCACAAAGTGTTGGGACGGTAGAATGATCGGATGTTTAGTCTCGAGCGGTAGACAGGTGTTCTGTAGTCGTCCCCCGACGCGTAACACTCCATCCACGACGATTGGTGTAAGGCATCTTAACGAACTAGACACTTTTCGAAGAGATTTTCCTTTGGCGCCGCACCGTCTAAGCGCATCATCAAAGGTACTGTTGTTCCCAAGGAGCTTCATCTCATAGGGAAACGCTTCTAATTGCACCATCCTTACAATTTCTGATGACGCTTCCCTCATCTCTGCCAATGTCAGTCTACCCTTTGGGGTTGTGTAGGAATTCCTCAAATATCCTTTATAACGAAGAATCCAGGCTACGCATCTTTGAAGTTTGTTCCACGAAGCTAAATGACTATAGCGAGCGATCACTGTGGCAGTTTGAAGTAAGTCGACACGCCCTGAGTCCGAACCGAGGTGTGTCATTACGCAAGCATTTTCTATGACCGGGAGTGATTGTTCTGTTAGAATGACCGGAAATTCAGGACCATTTTTCCAACGTTATAGCTTATTTGTTTCGTCCGCAAAGACACCACGGGATAGCAGGTCGGCGGGATTCCGCCGGGATTCGATGTAACGCCATTCGTCTGGACTAGAGAGATCGTGTATAAGTGATAAGCGATTGGAGAAGAAGGTGGGAAAACGTTTCGAAGTGTTGCGAATGCTTTGGAGCACCACAAGAGAGTCTGTACAGTAGAATATTGTTGAAATCTTCACGCTCATTTCTGTGCGGATCAACCTGGCTATCTTAACAGCTACCACAGCTGCCATTAGCTCCAGGCGTGGTATACTAGTCGCGCGAATAGGGGCGATTCTGGCCTTAGAAAATATTAACCGAGATAGCGTTGTTTCGCTTTTGCCTCCCACGACCATGTAGGCAACTGCGCCGTAAGCGGTTTCCGAGGCGTCACTAAAGACATGGAGTTGAAAATCATAGTTTTGTTTCGCCTCCTCTGGCCTGATGCATCGGGGTACGGAGAAGTGTTCAAGGTTAGGCATTGTATTTAACCACTTTCTCCACAATGTCCACTCTTCACCACATATCTCTTCGTCCCAACCTACTTTGCGTTTACATAAATTTTGCAGGACCTTTTTTGCGAGTATCGTCACTGGGGTAATGTATCCCATCGGATCAAAGAAAGACGAAACATGTGAAAGTATGTTCCTCCTAGTGAACTGTTTGGTCATGGGACGCACAAAGAAGCGAAATTCGTCTCGTTCAAGGTCCCAACCCACCCCGAGTGCTAGGTGCATTGCGGGATCCCGACGACCCAGCTCTATAGAAGTAGTGGCCTGTTCCGACTCGGGTATGGACGTCATTAAAGTGACACTGTTGCTCTTCCATTTGTGCAGTTTGAAGCCCCCCTTGCATAACATTGACCTTAGCTGCTGTGAAAACCGGAGTGCCTCGTTCTCATTTCGCACACTGACCAAACAATCATCCACATAGAAGCATCTTTTCGCCTCCTCGAGGACATCTTTATCGTAGCTTTCCGCACTGTCAGTGATGGCTCTGTTTAGCGCGAAGGTTGCACAACTGGGAGAGGATGTAGCTCCAAACAAATGTACGGTCATTCGGAATTCTTTCGGTGGTTGCGATAAGTCGCCATTCGTCCACCAGAGAAATCTTAAAACGTCACGGTCTATCTCAGGCACCCGAACTTGATGGAACATCGATTCAATATCGGCCATGATGGCGACTTTCTCCTGTCTGAATCTCAAAAGTACCCCGATTAGCGAATTGGTCATATCAGGTCCGGAGAGTAGTTGATCGTTTAGGGAGATTCCGTAGAATTTAGCTGCGCAGTCAAAGACCACACGTATCCTATTTGGCTTGGCTGGGTGGAAAACGGGATGATGAGGAAGGTACCAAGAATAGGCTGCATCCTTGACCGGAACCTCTTCAGCATATCCAGACTCAATGTAGTCATTCATAGTTTTCGTGTACATTTGCAACAAGTCCTCCGATTTTACGAGCCGTTTACCGAGCAGTCGGAGGCGCTGTAAGGCGCATAGCTTGTTATTCGGAAGGACTGATGGGTGAGTTCTCCAAGGTAGGGCTAACATATGATGACCATCGCGGAAACAAAGGGTTTGGTCCATAGTCTTCAGCGCGATACGATCGTTTACAGACAGATCTTTGTCTTTGGTTGGTCCCTCGTCAATGGAGTCTTGTTGATAGAACAGCTCCAGATCCTTCTGGAACTCAACGAAGTTCGAGCAGTATACCCGTTTCTTCTCTCTGGGAGTCAGATGTACAGGTCCCATCATTATCCATCCCAAGGCCGTTCGAATGGCGTATGGTTCGTCTGCTTTACCTAAGCATTGATCCTGTACACAGTGTGCTTCCGGTACATCGCATCCTAATAACAGCCCGATCCCCATGTCTTCGCGTGATTCGAATTCGATCGCACTCAAGTGAGGCCAGAGTGAGGCTACCTTATAATTTGGCATGTTTCGACTCACTTGTGGTAAAGATTTGACAGAGTAAGCTCGTTTGACGTGAATAGAAGTTTTTCTGCCTTTAGATTCTACGTCGAACTCTACTTCCATGGTCTGGAATACAGTTTCCTTGTTCAACGTTGATATGACGATATCCTTGCCTTTGCCCTTCATTTCAAGAGCAGACACGAGACTCTCATGTATGAGCGTTGAGTCGGAGCCGTTGTCTAAAAGTGCCAAAGTTCGTGCCGTGTGCCGTTCGTAGCGGATGGTCACTGGAACAACTGCGAGGGCTACCCTTGGAACCTCTTCTTCGTGTCTGACTACCTGATGACTGAAAACATTCGACAGGCTACTGAGCTCTTCGTTGTCGGGATGTAGTAGAGTATGATGTTCTTTTCCACAGCCCTCGACTGTACATCCGCGAGGTGATCTGCAGTTCTTAGCGATATGAATCGCTTTCAGACAACGGCGACACAGTTTGCGCTCTTGTACAATCCTTCTCCTTTCCGTCTTGTCAGAGGCCACAAATGTTGGACATTTATCGGGATAGTGATCTTCTCCACAGACCGTGCAACAGAACGGGAAAGGGGCCCCATTACGCTGTATTTCCGTGCTGTTTGAAACAAGCACATTCCTTTGAGGATGGTTTGACAATCTGTGTGTTCTACTGGGCTGCTGACCTTCATGATCTCTCAAACTAACCGCCAATTCTCCGAACCGAGTACAGGCAACATCAACGCGTTCTTCTATGAAGCCCGCGAGATCTTCGAATTGCGGTTCTTCGCCTTGACGTATTGCATTTGCAGCGGTTTCAGCCCATTTAAATCTTAATTGGGAGGGTAGACGTCTCACAATCGACTCCAGAGTTCTGCTGGAGTTGAGATCGGACGCATAGTTGAGTTGTTTCTAGGTTGCCACGCAAGCTTGCATTTGTTGGCTGAGGTGAACCAACGCTGCGGTGTCGTTGCCTTTTATTTGAGGTCCGTCGATTAATGCATCGATAAAGGCTCGGGCTACCATATAATTCTGGCCGAATCTTTTTCTCAAAATTTCTTTGGCCCTTGTAAAACCTTCGTCGGCGTCTAATATCGCACAATGTTGTATAGCCTCCTTCGCTTTCCCTTTACAGTACTGTATCAGGTAAGTGAGGCATGTGGTGCTGTCATTAGTTTTTCTTTCAATTACAAAATGGAACCCCTTCACAAAGGCACAATAAAATTTAGGGTTTCCGTCGAACTTCTGAATTTCACGTTTTGGCAGCTCTAGATGATGCTCTGTGGTGCGAACTGAAGGTTCGACATTATCATTTGAACTACCATCTCTCTGTTGAGCGATCGCACAAACCTCGTCATCTTTATTCAATTCTCGACTTTCCATTTTCATAAGCTGTAATATTTCCAACTCAATGCGTATTTCGATTTCTAGTAGACGCAGTTTGCTGAGCTCTATTTCAAGTCGCTGTCGTTCTAAATCTCTTTGATCTAAGGCGATTGGTGAAGCCGGTTGTGAATGCAGCGACAGATCCGGAGGGCTGTTGTCTGCGATTTGCTCGAACATGACTCGAATAACTTTATGGTTGGTGTTCTTTAAACTCAGTGCTGTTTTATTCACCTGAATAGACGCACCCGAGGTCAGAGCTATGTCAGAAGACAGTCAGGATAACTCGGTTATTCTTTGTGGTTCTATAGCAATAAACAGTGAGATTAGCGGAGCACAATAGAGTTAATAAGGTGGAGAATAAATTGAAAAGTGGACGTACATTCGAGGTGATAAGACGAGCAGTCAGCGAATGACGCCAAGGTGTGGTGGTCGGTTTATAAGCGAGCGGCAACAAAGAGCAATAGGCAATGGACAGGGAACAATGAACAAGGAATGACAAGAACCGACGAATAGGAAAACAAAGACAACGACAGGGCGGTGTGCGTAAATCTGGTTACTAGCAAACGGTTAGTAGCAAAGTAAAGACAAGAATAGAAATTGACATCAGGGATGTCACAGCAGTTATGCCAGTTATTGATGTCATGTAAATGTTTGACCATCAAGCATAAATTTATCTAGTCTTCTTTTGAAAGTCTCAATGTTTCCGCTAAGACAACGG